GCAAAGAACCATACCATCTACCCCCCCCCCAGACTCAACGGTCCCCAATTTCATATTGCAATGTGCATAGGATTTTGCCCCACTGCCCCCAAAAATGAATTCAGACCACACCAGCCAGGCCAATACCGCCCCCCCTTCATCCTACACAAGAACATATTGTGCGCGCGCACTTGTTCCCCAAAATCCATCCATGTTCACGAACCCTTGTGTACCAACAAATGCACACGCGCGCCTCGTTGCGCACACATGCCGGCATCCTTCAAAAACCTTTGGTTTCGTAAGGGTTACGGCTGTCCCGAAAACATATGAAAACACAGGGCTTCCCAACAAGGATGTTGAAAACAAATTTGCGTTCGGGCCCTTGTGGGTTATACACAAAACAACGTTTCTCCAAACCATTATGTGGTGTTGGGTCCTCGTTTTGAAGAGACGGTCTCTGCGTACCTCCCTCCTTCCTTCATCCTTCCTCCTCCCGCCTCCCCCTCCTCCTTCCTCCATGCGTTGGACCCACCCAGTACAACGTTTGGTGGCCCCATAGGGAGCTCCACCGAAGGCCCCATTGGCAGGGTTCGCATGGCGGCCCCGCGCCATTTTGGCGCATCCCTCACACGGTTAGTGGCCCCATAGGAAGCTCCACCGACGGCCCCTGTGGCAAGGTTCCCGTGGCGGCCCCGCGCCATTTTGGCGTACCCCTCACACGGTGTGTGGCCCCATCAGGGGGCTCCACCGAAGGCCCCAGTGGCAGGGTTCGCATGGCGGTCCCGCCTCATTTTGGCGCACCCCTCACACGGTTCGTGGCCCCATGGGGAACTCCACCGAAGGCCCCAATGGCAGGGTTCGCATGGCGGCCCCGCGCCATTTTGGCGCACCCCTCACACGGTTCGTGCCGTCATAGGGAGCTCCACCGAAGACCCACAGTGGCAGGCTTCGCATGGCGGCCCCGCGCCATTTTGGCGCACCCCTCGTGGCCCACAGGAACCGCCACCGAAGGCCCCAGTGGCAGGATCCTGCATGGCGGCCAAATACCATTGTGGCGCACCCCTCACACGTTTCGTGGCCCACAGGAAGCTCCACCGAAAGCCCCACTGGCAGGATCCGCGTGGCGGCCCAGACCCATTGTGGCGCATCCCATCACACGGTTCGTGACTCCATTGGAAGTTCCACCTAAGGTTCCTGTGGCAAGGTTCGCATGGCGGCCCCGCTCCATTTTGGCGGAACCTTCACACGGTTCGTGGCCTCATTGGGAAGTCCCCTTGCTTCGTCCCACCTGCCCTGCGGTTTTCATTTTTGCGCATGGTCGGGTCCTTCGCCGGGATAATTTGCAAGATGCCCATAAAATGCAACCAAGCAGGCACTCGCGCGCGCATGCCGCCATCGCAAGTACGCCCTCGCGCGCGTGCCGCCGCAAGAGCACCTTGCAAAACATGGGACGAAGTGCGCACGCGCGCGTCATCGCGCGCGCATGCCGAGATCCTTCAAAAACTAACAATTTCGTACGGGCTTCAAAACCGAAGTGTCCCGAACGCACATGTTGTAAACATGTTTTCTTTGGAGATTTTTGCAACAGAAGCTAAAGCACACAAACATGATATTGTATCTAAAAGTTTGCGCTCGCGGTCTTGCGAATTACCCCGGATACCATCGGTTTTTCGATATGTTCTTTCTATTCTGCCGAAAGGGCCTCTCGCACCACATGTCGATATCAATCGAACGCCTTTGCGCGCGTACTGGGGGGGCACGATCCGTGTCAAACAACACCATGCGGGCCACTCTCGCGCGTCGGCCGCGCGTGCGTGTCGAACTCCCTCCTAAACCATCATCGCTGACGCGAAAACGCCGTCATCGTCGCCGGCGTGATCAGCGTCGGCGCCCACAGTGCCGTCGTCGTTGTCCGCATCGTCGCCAGCATCGCTACTATCACGATCGCGTCTATCGATGTCGCCGGTGCCATGACACCGCGCCCGCCCAAATCGCCGACTCGCACTGAAATGCCCGCCGGGAAGCGCCCAGCGGTCAGCGCCACCGCGGCCGCGTCGGTCGCGCCAAACTAGCTGGCCGCTCTGCGCGCGACCATGCGCGCTAGCGAGGCCGCGACGATGCGCCTGCCAGCGCCGAGCAGTGATCGCAATCGCCGCCTCATGAGTTTTGCAGAGCAACTTGCGGGCGAGTGGGTGGGTTGATTGCGCGAGCAATGGGGTTGACAATTTCAAGTTCGGCACGGCGAACTGCACCTCACCGAATATACCACCTAGCTCGCAGCACATTACGCGTAGGCATAGATTGCGCCACAAACTTAGCACCACATAGCTCACACCGCATGAATTGCATCACACAAGTTTCACCACATAGCTTACACCCAACAGCTCACACCACAAAGACAACCTTGGGAAAACCCTACTTCCCTTTCCCCTCATGGCTGAACGCCCCCCTCTCACGTGCAAGTCAGCCCAATCGGTCACTCAGCCTCTGAAGCCGTAGCTTCTCAAGAGAATGAGTATCGACTCGCCCACCCCCCATCACTGTCAAATCATACCATGCGCGCGCTCTCGGCTACCCCAACTGACACCACAGAACCCACTGCGAACACAAGGCAAAATCACCCCGAATAGATTAGTTCTGCGGGCATGCCACCAACAAAAACAATAACCACCTGGTTGCTCAGCAACAACGTTACGAAATTTGTGTCCGTACGCACTTGCTGAAACCATGGGTACCTACACGGGTTAAGCAATATCGTCCACAACCAACATTCCCATCTCACCACGCAATACCTGATTTGACCTAGCATGCGCCCAATGCACGGATAAGTGTCAGACAAAAGCCATGCGGGCCATACGCGCGTGCCGCCACTCGCGCGTGTCGAATCCCTTCCGAAACCACCTGCTTCGGACGCAGCTCCAAGTATAGTTTCAACATCGTGTGAACAAATGTTCCAGGGAGTCCCTGGGCGGCCACGGCGCCTCCCTGGGGCTCTCCAAGGCTTCAATGGCGGTCCACGAGGCCCCCAGCACGGTCCAAGAGGGCCCGGGTCTCAAGATGGCGCCAGAGGCTTCCAAGGCGCCCCAAGAGGCCTCCAAGAGGCCTCCCAGGAGGGCCCCCCAAAGGCAAAAGTCATCGAGTCCCGTTGCGTCTCTTTTTATGTCAACGTTCTCGCCTGTTCGGCTTTCCGACGCTCCAAGACGGCCCTGGAGGCCCCGAAAAACACCCCAAAGGGCCCAAGAGGAATGCAAGAGGGCCCCAAGACGCCTTCAGAGCGCCTTCGTCAAGGCGGCCCCAGTGTGGGACTCAGAAAGGGAACACGAACCGAAAATGCTAGCCCTTCGCCCGAAGGGGCTCCCAGGAGGCTCCACGGGGCGCCCAAGAGGCCCTAAGAGGCCCCCGAGAAGCCCGCCAGAGGTCCCAGAGGCCCCCAGGAGGCCCCCAAGAGGCTCCGAAACAGCCCCCAAGAGGATTCAAAACTGGCTCCAAGAAGCCCCCGAGAGGCCTCCCACGAGATTCCGACGAACATCCAGTAGGCTGATAACAACAACCCAGGCACGGTGGTGGGACGTGCCGTAGGCAGCTGGATATGTTCGAAATTGTATGACCACAACGGTGTTCCAGGACATTGCTTGCAAGTTATCGGATTTCCGCGCGCGCGCGCGCTCCCTCACCATCACACTCATCACCGCCATCGCCTCAACGCCGTCATCGTCATCGTCACTCGCGACCATTGCCGCCATCATCAGCACAATCGCGTTCATCACCGATACACTGACACCGTCATCATCGTCATCGCCACCAGCGTCGGCACCCCGTCATTGACCCCGTCATCGGCACCCCGTCATCGGCACCCCGTCACCAGCATTGTCATCGGCATCATCGCCACCACCATCGCTATCATCAGCAAAAACGTTACCAGCGTTGCCAACGGGATCATGATATCGCGCCTTCCCCAATCACAGACAAGCACTGAAATGGCCGCGCGCCTGCGCGGCCTGTGAGACGCGTTGACAATTTACCATCGGTAAACGTCATCGCGGCCGCGCCGATTGTGCCAAACCATGTGACCGCTCTGCGCGCGAGCCTGCGTGCGCCAGCCGGGCCGGAGAAAAGCGCCAACCGGTGCCACGCGTTCGCTGCGATTGCGGCCGCATGGGCTTTGGAAAGCAAGTTGCGGGTGGGAGGGATGTTTGAGCGAGCAGTATGAAGGGGCCCTGGGACACACAAATAAATACACACAAATAAAATGATTCCCCATATTTTCCCATATTTTCTGGATTTCTGTCTTCCCGCCCAATTCCCATATTTTCGCATATTTTCTGGAGAGTCGACGATTAATTGTGTCTGTGTGTTTCTTTCCCTCCTGACAGTAGAGCAGAACATCCATGGGTGGCGATAGTTTACCCCACCTCATAGCGCACACTACGCAGCGTACATATCCACAGACCAAAGAGAATCATATCTCTGGTTGGGGCCCACGCTGGCAAGCTATGTCGAACTGCCGAACCATGGGGAAGCCGTAGCCAGGCGGCAGCCAAGGGGAAGGGGTATGGGGGGGATGAGGGGTGACGATTGGAGAGCGGGATTTTGAGGGCAGGAGTGACGGAAGCTGACGGGGAAGATGGCGGTGGAAGGGCAAACTGCCCACCTCGAAGGTCACCGGTGCCACCAAGAGAGAGAGGGTGGGTACCAGCATGCAAGCAAGCCAAACCCAGGCTCACGAGAGGTCACCGCGTGGTCACGAGCGGCAGGGGGAGGAGGGGAAGTGGCGATAGAAGCCACTCGCTCATGCTGCCCAAACTAGCTCACATGACACCGGTATCGCTGCTCTCCAGACCTTTCCTAGGGTGCGTTCTGACCAGGATTCCGAGTCGCATCCAGTCGTGGCGGCGATGGGCCCCCCAGGAGGACCGAATGGGGAGAACGAAGGAAAGACATCGATGTCGGTACGCATCCATTGACTCACGAGGCAGGGGTAGGAGGACGAACAACCGAGACCGCGATCCCGCCCCAGGCACCACACGCCCTCGCGTAGTCGCCAGCAGCATGCAGTCCCACAGCCTGGATCGCTCAAGTATGGAATTGTCAAGCAAATGGCGTGCACAAGAATAGAGAAACCAAAAAACGGCATAAGCAAAAACTGTCGGAGCTCCGTGCGGATCTCTTGGACCGACAAAGGCTCCCCTCCCTGGCGCCGCGCGGAGCGCGCCAGGGGCGGCGCTGGAGGCGCCGCCGGGAGAGGTCTGGCGTCGATCCGAGAGATCCTGCGGATCTCGAAAAGTATATGTTTGCGCACGTTTTCCCCCTTTGAATGAGTGTGCGTATTGGTGTGCCACGTGCAGTTAGACCCTAGCCCCGCTGTGGAGAGGCCCTGGCCGAGGCGAAGAAACAAGCCGCGCAGCCAGTGCACCATGAGCGAGCGGCGGCCACAACGGCACCGTGCTCCATGTGCAATGGTGGAGCGAACGGGAGCTGCGAGATCCCTCGAAGCAGGGCACAGGCAGGAGCAGAAGAACTCTCCGATGACAACCCTGAGATCCGGCGTCGCGGAAAACAAAAACATCGCGGATGAGAATCACTACCGGGGCTCTTTCTGAAGCATCTTCCGAGCCGCGCCGATCAATGGTGGTGCCAGGGCCCGAAACTGAGCGACAACGCCCGGTGTAAAAGAAGTGCTCGCTCCCGGGACGTCAATCGCGGACACGACACGTCGATCGCGCCTGTGACGTCAGTTGCGACGACGCCGCCAGTCGCGCCTACAACGTCAGTCGGACCAATGGCTTCCACAGGGCACCGCGCAGCATAGCCGAGCAAAACATACACACCGAAGAGAAGCTTGCACGAACCGGCACAACGAAACGAGACACAACGCGCAACAACGCGCACGGCCGACACTATCATCTGCGTGGCACAGTGGACAAACTGTATGCTAGGAATGCCAAACTCACTGATGCGAATCCACTCGCAGCACGTATCGCCCGGCAACACAATTCACAATGCAACGCACCGTACCGGCTGGGAGAGCGTGGGAACTATCCCGAGGGCCTCAAGGGATAGGGGGAAGGTCCCTGGGGAGGCTCTTCCGAGAGCCCGGAACAAGAGGAGGCACCAGTGAAGAGGAAGCGGAAGAAAAGGGAAGAGGAAAGGGGTGGGTGGGGCACGAGTAGGAGCAGGAGGGTGTGTGTGTGTGGAGATTTCGAGTGCTTTTGGTGACGGGGTGGGGGCTTTCTCTTCGCGCACCGCAAGGGAACAGAGGCAAACCGCGGCAATCGAAGCGAATCGAGGAAGGCCGATATCGGACGGGGCAGCAGAGATGGCCAAAATGTCACGTGTCCCCGGCCGCCAATGAATTCGAGTAGCGCCCAGCCTTCCACCCAACGTCGAAACGCGGAATGAAAACAAATGCGAAAGAGGCGGCGAACACGTGAGACGTGCAAAAGCATCTCTTGGAAACGTGACCCCGCGATTCTGCACGGACGGATACCCTGCAATATGCGAAGGGAGTGAGCGGGACACCCTGTCGATTCAACTGTGTGGCAACACCCAGTGCAATCTCACCCCTGCACGGCGAAAGGTGCCCAATGGCAAGGGTGGTATGCAGCTTGTCCCTTGAAACGCCCGTGTTCAAACCGAGCATCGATCAAGTCGCACATTGCACGCTGCACCGCATCTCGAACTGACAGTCGATCAGAGAGCCAATACTGGTAAAACCGTTTCATAAATTCGCACGTGGATCGGTCCGGCACCGACCACAAGGTCACCATAGCGGCTTGTGCTCCCGCTGCCAGAAAAGCACGTGCCAAACCAACGACACCGTCGGCTCCCAACTCTCCAAGACCAGAGTTGCACGCACTCAAGACTACCAACCGCGCCTGCAGCCGCAGCGAATATATTTCGCTGGCATGTAGCAACGCGTCGCTCTCACAACTTCCTGGAAGCACGAGTGCCAGCTCGTCAAGCAACCCATGGGTAGCAAGATGAATCAAGTGCGTGGCAGTCTCCATCTGGCCGAATAAATCACTCTTGGCCATGCTTGTGCCAATTATTGAAAGACCTGCGTGCTTGCACTGATCAGAAATATACGCGACCTCCTCCGGAACCTTGTGCAACGGCTTCAGGCCTCGTAGGAATGTTATACGAAGCGTATTTGCTGTTACCAACTCCGATTGCATGTCCTGTAAGATAGTTTTGCCGTTCACCTCAATGATGGTATCGTGCTGCCGAACAGCTATTCCAGGATTGTTTGCATTGTGACATGAAAGAGGCCCGTCCTGCGATATGCTGGAGACGACCAAAGAGCCCGTGGCGGTGCTGGTACCTATGCCCCAATCTTCGTTAACTTCGCGAGAGAGCACGGCAGTATGCCGCAAGGAATATTGGAATTCAGACACACCCGCGATCAATGCACTTCTGGTTTGCGGTGTCGCAGATGTTCGGGACTGCAACATGTGCACTACCTGGATCGAGGGAGCAACACGCACGGAATGCCGCTGAACCAGATACTTACCATCCTCACGATCGCGCAGAGCAGGGAACGGAATCATGTGCAAGTGTCTGTCCGGGACAATCAACAGATGCCTCTCGTGATCGATCCACTGCCGTATCCGCCGCCGTGCCGCTGGGCACGACGTGGGCGTGTCCTCAGGTCATTTTCCCCATCCCTTCAGTCTCAATCGTCAATCTTCCCCAACGCAGTCTCAATTCTCAATCCTCAACCCTCAATCCTCGGTCTGGAGGAGTCTCTTAGGGCCCAACCCCCGAACTGCCAAATCTTCTTGGACTTGGCGCGTGCCCCCTGGGGTTCCCGGCATCTCCCCGCGTGACCTGCTCGGGCCCGAGGAGGGCCCCAAGACTGACCGAGAGGGCCTCGAGAGGCCCCCAAGGCGCCCGAAGAGGGCCCCCGGGGTCGCTGAAAGGTCGGTCCGAGACGCCCAAGATGGCCCGAAGACGGCCCAAGAAGCCTTCGAGATACCCCAAGAGACTCGAGCGCCTTCCCACGAGGGCCCCGAGAGGCCAAATTCTGTCCGGTGCGCCATCGGATGTTCAACGTTCTAGGTTCCGACGCTCCAAGACATCTCAAGAGGCCCCCTAGACCGCCTCAAGACGGCCCCTGAGGCCCCCAAGAGGGCCTCAAGAGGACCCCAAGACGGCCCAAAAGGGCTCCAAGATGGCCCAAGAAGCGCCCAAGACGGCGCACGAGGGCCCCAAGACGGCCCCGAGAGGGCCCAAGAGGGGGAACAAGAACAGAAAATCTGAGCCTTCTGCCACAAAAGACGCCCAAGAAGCCCCCGATATGCCCCCCCTAGGCCCCAAGAGGCTTCAAAATAGCCCCCCGGAGGTACCAAAACTGCCTCCAGGAGGCCCCCGAGAGGCCTCGACGAGATCCCAACGACCATCCAACAGGCCTCAGACCCACAGCACGTGGTGGGATGGGCCCAAGGCCATTCAATCCGCCGCCCCATGTGGTCTTGCCACAGGGGTGCCTGGCGTGCTGAACCCTCCTGGTGATGAATTTTTATTGTTCAAAATAACTCTCTCCTGGGATCCGGCCCAGCGCACGGGCCCCGCGGGAGACCCAGCTCAAAGGTTTCTCAGGTCCAGATGGCTCCAAGATGGCTCTTAATAGCTGCCCAGATGGCCCAGATGGCATCCTGTTCGTCCAAAATGAAGCAAAAGTGCTTCCAAGACGGCCCCAGAGAGCCCACAGAGCCTCCAAGATGGTCCTTGGAGGGCCCACGAGGCGTCCAAGAGGCTGCCACGAGGGCCCAAGAGGCCTCCAATACCTCCTCGAGGAGTCCCGAAGAAACCAGAGTCATTGGTTGTTCTCTTGTTATGTCAGACAACCCAAGACGGCCCAAAAGGCCTGCCTCTACGACCGCGCCAAACTGGTCCCAAAAACATCCATGATGACCTCATGACAACCCAAGAAGCCTGCCAAGATGGTTCCAGACGGGCCTCCAAGTTCGCCCAAGATGGTCCAAAATGGCCTCGAAGACGGCTCAAGAGAGCCCAAGACGACTCCAAGCTTGCCCCAAAAAACCACCAAGCTGGCACAAGGCGGCCCCAGAGTCCTCCAATAGGCCTCCAAAACGGCCCAACAGGCCCCCAACACGTCCTCCAGCAGGGCCCGAAGAGGCCAAACTCATTGGTTAATTTGAAAGGGGGTGGGAGGCCCAACCAGATGCTTCGCCTAAGGCGAAGCCAATCTCCAACCTCGCTATACCGTAGTAGCGATCGTCCCAAGAACAAGAAGGAATCGCGGGATCGCCGAACCATGTCAAGCGAATCGATTCTCGGCTTCAATGGCAAACAGCGTGCCTCGCGATGAAGCGCCGTCATATGTTGGCGGCCGGCCGCTTGAGCCCAAACGTCCGCGGACAAACGTTCGCTACCTCTCGCAGTTGCCCCTTTGCCCAACGTCCTCTAGAGTCGGGGGGGGGGGAAGAGACGAAGAGCGAGTCCGCCGCCAGCTATGCAGCAACACGTTATCATACTCGAGGTAGGCAGCAGCAGGCGGGCTCAACAAAGGCAGGCTGGCCCGAATGCAAGTTACCACGCAAGCAAATTTCCTCGCAGGCAAGATACCCTGCATATAGCGACTCTTCAGGCGGCTCAGATGATCTTGTCTGGCCAGCCCTGTAGGGGGTGTCGCTTTCGTTCACGATTGAAGGATCGCGCTCCTCCCATGACTTATAGGAGCTGGTCTCTTTCGGTGTGGCCATCCGCAGTCATATCGCGAGTGTCGCCCAATTGCACAGTGCGCGAAACCTCGTCTCACCATTTGTCGCACCCAACTGATGTGTCCCAAATGTGTACACTCACTCGGCTTCTTCAAGTCTTTGCTTGACGAGGACTTGAAGACATATATGCGTCGATTGTCAAATCGACCTTACGCTGAAGCCGGCCATCTCAAGTATATCCTTCAACTGAGAGGGTGTCGGCGGCCCTGCGTGGAGTTTATTCAGATTGACGATCGCGGGATAGCAGTCCTCCATGTTGTGGGATGCTGCAAGTGTCTCCACTGAGTCGCTCGAGCGGATCTGCAAGCGATGAGACTTGCA